GGGAGGGAGTGGACTCAGCTCCGTGGGGCCAGGGCTGCAGTCCAAGGCAGCTGGAGCTTACCCTCTAGTTGAGGGGCCCAAGGGGGACACAATCAGCTTTCAGTTCCGAAAGTCGTCAGGCTGACATCCTGGAGGAGAAGGAAGGCTCTGGGGCAGCCAGCTCAGTGAGGAGGCTGCCTCTCTGGTCCAGGTGAGAGATAGTGGTCTCCTGGACTAAGGCAGAATTTGAACCCAAGACTGTAGGAGCTCAGAGGACATCTCCGGTTCCTCAAAGGACAGAAGCTGCTGTGGCTGGGCATGGCCTGGCACCTCCATCTGGCTCGTCTCATTGAATTCTGAAGTTGACTTGTCACATCTGTGGTCGGCTGGGCTCGGCCTTGTGAGAGGAGGAGGAAGTGGGCAGCCCTCCTGGGGGGGGGGGGTCAGGGAGGCTGCCCCGTTAGCTGAGACAGGCTGGGGGAGCCGAGAGACGGGGAAGAACTGGCAGAGGAAGGACTTCCCCTGTCCTGCTTGGCCTCTGTCCACAGGTCCGCCATTCCCCCTCCTGCCTGCTCCGCAGGAGCCCAGGACCGGGCCCCTGATTGGTGGTTGATGGATCTGTCCTCTCTGGGAGACTCCCTCCCCCCCCCCTTTCTCCCTCCCTTTGGGGACCCCTCAATGCTCTGCCTAAACACAATTCTGCCTGTGCGCTCTCCTGCCAAGAACTCTTCCAGGGCTCCCATTGCTTCTGGATAAAGGCTGAACTCTTCAGTCTGATGTTCTGGGATCTTCATGGTCTGGTCTCCCTGCCCCAGCTTCAACTCTGCCTGTCTCCCTCTCTTAAAAGGACTTGTGTTCTAAGATGTGCCAGCTTTTCCTTTGCCTCCAGGCTTTTCACAATGGTGATGATGATGATGGTGATAATGACGGTGATGGTGATGATAGTGACAGTGATGATGGTGATGATATGATGATGATGTTGAAGGAGATGCTGATGGTGGTGGTAGTGGTGACGGTGATGGTGGTGAAGAGGAGGAGGAGGAGGATGGTGACTGGGCCATGAGGTAATGAGGCAGAGGAAGGGGCAGCTTCTAAGAAGCACAGAGCCAGCTCGCAAGTGCAGGGCATTCTTAGTGGGTGTGGAATGCACCCAGGCCCCTGCCTTGTTTCCAGACCTTTGGGGGAAGCTTATCCCTCACAGGAGTTCTCAGAACCCCTCCATCCATCATTCCCTTCTCCTCAGCAGGACACAGTTTTTCTTGTGCAGACAAATGTCTTTTACTCACTGCACTCTCCGGGAAGGAAAAGGGGGCTGCTGTTTATGAACCTGGTGTCATACAGTAGGGGCTCGTCAAGTACTTATTGGACAGATTTTCAGTCAAGGGGAGCCAGACTCAGGGACATCAGGCAACTTCATCTTCAGTAGCATCAAGTTGTGAGTGACTGAGCAGCTGCCGCGTGCCAGGCACCGTGAGGGGGACTCCTCGTATATGAGCTCACGGAAGCGGCACAGCGACCCCAGGAGACAGGCAGCACCAGCCCCCTATATTTGTTAATTGTCGTGAAATACACATGACATAAAGTTTACCGTCTCCACCATTTTTAAGTGGACAGTTCAGCAGCGTTAGTTATATTCAAGTTGTGGTGCAACCGTCTCCAGAACTCTTTTTGTCTTGCAAAACTGAAACTCTGTCCCCGTTCGACAAGAACTCCCCACCCCCCTCCCTCCAGTCTTCGCACCCACCCTTCTACTTTCTGTCTCTACGAATTTGGCCATTCTAGGCACCTCCTATAAGTGGAATCCTACGGAATTTGTCTTTTTGTGACTGGCTTATTTCTTCAAGGTTCATCTACGTTGTAGCATGTGGCAGAACTTCATTCCTTTTTAAGGCTGAATAATGTTCCGTTGCATGGCTGTCCCACATCTTCTCTATCCATTCATCCGTTGATGGACACTGGGCTGCTTCCGCCTGTGGTCTGTTGTGAACAGTGCTACAAATGTCTCTTCGAGGCTACCCCATTTTACAGCGGAGCCCAGAGAGGCTCTGGGAGGAGAGAGGACAGGAAGGAAGGATTCTCGCCCAGGCTCCCGGGCCCCGAAGGCAGGGCTCCTTCTGCCTCGTCCCACTGCCTCCTCTATGCCCACCTCTTCTCCGCCACTGGTGCCCAGCCCGTGATGCTGCACGTGCAGAGACCTCTTGACCCCTGAAAGTTCAGGGACAGGAGCTGGTGGGCACAACCCTGGCTATCTACCTCTCTGTCCCCTGCCACAGCCCCTGTGCCAAGAAACACTGACAATGACCTGCTCTCCACTCATTCACCAGACAGGGATGAAGTGCTGACTCTGTGCCAGGCACATTCTGGGCGCTGGTCAGGGACCCCCAGAAATGACAGGGTAGATGTGAGCTGCTCCAGGGCAGGGATGTTAGTCTCATTCACTCCCTGCTGCCCCCTAGTGCCTAGAAGAGTGCCTGGCACACAGCTGGTGCTCAATAAACGCTGGGTGAATGCAGAGCCAGGCGCAGGAGCCCAGAGATCCATGCCGCTACTGGTGCTGGGCCCTGAGCAGACCCTTCCCCTGTCAAACGGGGAGGCCCCTTGGTCGCCCTCTCTCCTGGGGTATGTGGAGAGGTTGCACCGTGCTCTGGGGGAACAGCGGCCCAGGGAGCATGTGGCAGCCACAGAGACTCGCCCCCTTTGCCCCACAGATCGCCTTTGTGCCTGCGGACGCCGACCTGCAAGGCATCCTGTCCCCAAAGGCGCCGGGCCTGGTGGGGAACGGGCTTGCCGCCGAGCTGAAGAGGTGGGTGCCGGGGCGGCGGGAGGGCGGCAGCCCCTCAGGCCACGCTCCCCTTACAGGAGGGCGGGGTCAGGGCGGGAGCCTGGGGGCAGCTGGTCCCCTTGCTCGTCTGGCTTTGCCTGCCCTCTTGTGGAGAAGCACTGTTAGAAATCACGGATTACTGAACTCGGTCGGGTGGGCACTATTATTCCCATTTTACAGGTGAGGAAACGGAGGCACAGGGACTTTGTCTTGTCTCACAGCCAATTACTGGCAGACCAGGAATCAGACAGGTTTGACCCTAAATCCCAAACAGCTGTGCCTACGACTTCTCTAGCCGACAGAGGCGTGATGGTAGCCCCGGTACAAGCCCTGGGGCCCGGCATTTCTGGCTGTGCGACTCTGTAAAATGGGGGACTGATGGGGCCTTCCTCCTAGGGTTCAGGGAGGGGCGAGTGAGGGAAGACGGGAAAGGTGCTAAGAGCAGAACCTGGTACCCATTGGTCGTCTTTAGTGAGAAGGGCTTCCTGGGCACCAGAGACCCAGTCAGGCACTTTGTGCCCATTACCCCCTTGAGGCCTCAGAGAAACCCTGTGAAGTGGGGAGTGTCAGGCCCTTTATACAGATGTGGAAACTGAGGCTCAACAAGTACAATCACAAGCCCCAAACCTCACAGGGAGTGAATGGCAAGCCAGGCTGGACCTGCCTTCATCCCTGGATGAGCCAAGGCCTGGCTTGTCCAGACATGGTGGAGGGCACTACAGCCCTGGACAGGCATGGCACCAGCCCCCCAACCCGGGGCTGTGCTCAGGGGCCAGGCTGCAGGTCCAGGGTTTGTGACTGGGCCTCTGGGACGCCCCTACTTTGCTTGGGGAAGGAGATGGTGAGCGTATTTTTGTTCCTGGCACACAAGATAACCACATGTCCCCAGGGGAATGAGACCGATAGACCCCGGGTGGACCTGGGGCCAGCCTCAGGACAGGTCACATGGGGACAGCCTCTGTGACAGAGCGGGGCTCAGGCCGCCCTGAGATGGGCTCACCCCTGTCACTCCGGGCCCTGGGCAAGGGAACCTCACTTCCAGAGGGGCTGCAGACAGCAGTACAGAAGACGATGCCTGGAGACCCAGCACCCCACCAGTGTCTGTGTCATCCTGGGCAAGCCAGCTGGTCCCTGTGCCTCAGTTTCCTCCCAGTATCTCCCAGAGTTATGGCGAGGGTTAGATGAGCCACTGACACGGCCAGAGGCAAGGAGTGTCCAACAGCTGGCGGTCACTGCCGATATGTCCTCCTCTGAAAAACGGGACCCTTGGGGCTAGCGCTGGAGACACGAATGAAAGGAGCCCTGGGCTGAGAGTGGGAGCTGCGCCCTCCACTCCCCTGTTGGGCCTCAGCCTCCTCATCCAGGGACAGGGTACAGCAACCACCCCCAAAGGCTTTTTGAGATCGGGGGGACCAGGTGGCCAGAGTGGCCAGGCCAGGGACAGCACTGATGTCTGTTGAGTGAGTCTTTGCCTACTGCCTGTGTTTCTCCTGCTGTCTGCCTGCCCCCAGTGCCCAGCCTCCCTACACCCGGCTGTGGGAGGAAGCCGCCTACGACCAGAGCCTGCCTGACTTCAGCCACATCCAGATGAAGATCATGGGCTGCAGTGAAGACCCCCGCCCCCTGCTGGCCCCCAAGCAAGGACAGCCACAGCTGGGGGCCAGTGATGCAGGAGAAGGTGGCCCTCGTGACACTCAGGCCTGGATGGACGCCGCTGTGGTCATCCACAGGGGCTCGGATGAGGATGGGGGAGAAAGAAGCCCAACTCAGAGCAGGCCCGGGTGAGTGCGCACAGCGCAGGGGTGGGGATGCCGCCCGCTTCCACGGTGGGGGCGCGGGGGCCACTGAGGGGTGGGTGGGGCCATCTGGGAGTAGAGAGGGCAGTGGGCATGGGGGCACCCTGAGAGGCAACAGGGGCAGCAGACGCGTGAGCATGGGCTCGGTCAGACGGTCAGACAGGCCCGCGAGCGTATTGCCCTCCTGAGCCAGGTCCCTGCTTGGGAATAATCACTCCAGCTGGAGGGTGCTCTTGGGACTGGAGAGTGCATTGAGCGCCGACGCACCATCTGCCCACACTCTCTGAATGGTTGGGGCGGGGTGGGGGGGGGGGGCGGTGCGCAGGACCTGAGTTCAAATCCCGACTCTGCTGCTGATGTGCTCTGTGACCCTGGGCAGGCTATTCCCCAATCCACGCTGTCCCCTGCTGTTCCTCATTCATCCGTTTCTTCACCCCTCCTACCAACATTTCTGAGCACCTATTCCCTGCCAGGCCTTGACGCCCCCCACCCTCCAGGAGCTCCTAGTCCAGTGGGGGAGGCGGACAAGGGGCAGAAATGAAACCCGGGTGTGAAGGCCCAGTGGAGACCCCTGAGTGGGGAAGTGGAGGAGCTGCCTGGTTTGGCTCCTAGCATGTGCCCATTTCTTGAGTACCTACTCTGTGCGAGGCCCTGTGCAAAGCAACCTGCACACCTTGTCCTCAGAGATGACCGCAGGTGTGAGTGCTGTCCCCCTACGGTGCAGGGGAGGACAAAGAGGTCCAGACAGGCGACCTCACCTGCCCCGGGCCCTGTAGATTTGGACTCAGGCAGTCTGGCACCGAGTTTCCCTCACTCTCTTGGTCTTTGCCCCGCAGCCCCCCGGCCTGTCCGCAGGGCTCTGCACCCTTGGCTTCCTTCCCAGATGACCTGGACACGGGCTCCAGTGAGGGTGGCAGCCCCCGCCCATCTCCACCTGAGGGGGAGCAGCCGCCGGCCTGCAGGTGCCGGCTGGACCCCTTCCACGACTTTGCCCTCATCGACGCCCCCACGTCGGAGGACAGGCCGCCAGAGGGGCAGTGGCGGGAGGCAGCCCTGTCCAGCTCCTGGCAGCGGTCCCCGAGGACAGAGGAGGAGGAGGAAGAGGAGGCTTCGGACACAGGTGCAGAGGAGCCAGAGCGGGAAGAGGAAGATTTGTACTATGGGCTGCCCGACGGCCCTGGGGACCCCCTCCCAGATAAGGAAGTGGGCTTTGAGCCCGACGCCCAGGGCTGAGATGGAACTGCTCCCTGGTTCTAGCCTGGCACCCTGCTAACCTCAGTGTGACCTCACGGGGCCTCAATTTCCCTGTCTGTAAAGTGGGGTTACGCGGAGGTTCAGAGGAGATGATGGACCCAAGAGCATTTTGAGAACTGCACAGGGAGGGGCTGATGACTGTCCATGGACCGTGCTGTTCCAACTGTTCACGTGCTTTGCTAAAGCTTTGAAGGTAAAATAACGATTTGTGGAGAAGATTTGCAGCAGCCAGGGCCCTCAAGAGCCTTTTCTGCCTCCCCCCAAACTGAGCTCTGAACAGGAACCCTCCTTGGTGCTATCCCTCGGGTCCCTGGTCCTCCGTGAAGGCCTCTTGGGCTTTCTGTTCCTGTTGAGTCTTTTAGTCCACCTGGTAGATGGTGTGATCCGGCTTCATGCAGAGCTAACCATGTCTCCCCTGCCCGCAGCCCCATTCCTCTGGGGTCCAGACCATCCATGACTGACCTCCAGACTTCCTCCCTGGTCAGCTCCATGCCACATGCATTGCTCCTCCAATTCCGCAGCCATGCCCCAGGACACACATTCGCTCTGCTGCCCCGTGCCCTTTCCAGGCTGCCTGCCCCCACCCCACCGTCAGCACACCCTTTGCTCCCTTGTCTGCCTGGCAAATGTATGCTTATCCTTCAAACCCCTGCACAGATGTCCCCCTCTGAGAGCTTTCCTGACGTCACTGCCTCCAGGAACGGTTGGTCCTGGCTCCTCGGCGCCGCCCCTGGGTCCTGCACGTTTATCGCTGGAGCGTGACTGTCTGCTCAAGGCTCACTCCTGTGCCCTGCTCCCCTCGGTGTCTCCTGCGCCCAGTCGGGGGTCAATGAGGGTGTACGGAGCTGCCAGAACCCAGGACACGTTTGCAGATGACATCCCCCTCCCCCACACTCCTAACTCAGGCTACCAGCCCCTTTTCTCTCTGGCGTTCAAACCTCCAAGTGGCCTGTGGAGCAGTCTCAAAGCCGAGCAAAGAGCCCCAGAGTACCCCCCTGCAGAATCCATCTGCATCGATTGGGATTGAGTGGGACATTAAGCTTCCTGGCTTAACTCGGTTCAATTCGGGGCATTTACTGAGCATCTGCTATGCACGAGACACAAGCTGGGACCTTAGAGGGAGCGAGACATGAACGGGTCGTGGTTACTGCCCTCACAGCTGAGGATCTGGGGAGTGAGGTTTCTTGCAAGTTGGGGACAGAGTGCAGAGCAGGAGCTGAGATGTTAAAAACTGACATACTGGAGGCAGCAGAGTGACAACCACACAGCCATCTGGGGCCACTAAGTGCAGGGCAAATGGCTCAGTCTGCTCTGGCCGCCCCTGACGATGATGCTGTATCACGGTATCACAGAGTGAGGCTTTTGATGCTGACCTCTGCAGAGCTGCTCTGTGCCCCAGCACGGGGACAGAGGCAGCTTCAGAGACAGGGCAGTGGCACTACCTCAAACCAGGGCCACGCACTCAGAGCCTGTTCCCTGGGCCACCTGGGAGCAGGAGACCGTCACCCAGGCTGGGCCTCTGGGTTGGGGTTGGGGGTCCCGGCCAAGGGAAAACGGTGCCCCCCTTGCTGGGTCAGGAGGGTGCACCCCCGGAACACACGCCTTCTTCTGTCTGGGCCATCGCTACCTCCAGTGTGACAGCCTCTGTAGTGAAAGGTGCCATCGGGCACACACCCTGTGCTGTAGCCACATTCCTGTCATGGTCCGAGTCCTCAGGCAGGGCGAATGGAGTGTGCCCCTGTGCTGGTTACTCAGGCTGGGCCGTGGGGACCTGCGGCAGAAAGAGCTCCAACACCAACGTTGGAATAAAAAAGCGTTCAGTGTCAGGGGCGTCTCCTCACTCAGCGGCAGGGTCTTCTATGTAAAACCGCAGTCCGCTCTGGACAGGGTGCACGGGCATTGCGCCGCGGCCCGGGGCCCCCTCTGGAAAGCGAACATGGATCTCAGTGGCCTGGCTGTGTGGCACGGCGGTGCAGTGAGGAATCTCAGAGTGGCCCCATGTCCCTAGTCACAACTATGGGGCCTTCCCCAGATCTTAGGAGAGAACCAAGGCCTCTGGCCGCCGGGCCACCTGCAGAGAGGTGCTAACCTACCCTAGGAGGTTGCACGGAGGGCTCGGGGCCACCAGGAGATGGTGAGATGCGGGCTTTGGCTCCAGTCCTGGCTCCCCCGCCACCTTGCTGCGTGGGAGGGAGACCACACGCCCAGTCTGCCCGGCACAGTTTACGCCCGCCGTCCCCGCTTCGGTATTAGGAGTGTGTCCTTTCACCCCAAAGCTTGCCCATTTGGACCATAAACTTGCCTTGCCAACTTTCAGTCTCCTCTAAGAACATGGCCTCTGATTAACGGGGAGGGGCGTGCGGTCTTCCTGCAGGTCCCCAGGGGCGGGTGGGGTGTGAAGGGGCCGGAGGCATAGCCTTGGCAAACCCCGGGACTCCAGCTCTCAGCCTCAGGCTCCGGATCTGTGTCCCATGGCAGAAATTCCTGCTCTTTCCACCCTCCTGTCAGTCACAGGGACTTTGGAAGTTTCCACTCTCTGGGGAGGAAAAGGCCCTGGAGGGACGCCCCCTGCCCTTAGCTGGGAGAGTGGTTCTGGGGATGGGGGCTGGGCCTCTGCCCACTGCTGGCCGTGACTCTGGGCATGTCCGGCCTCCGTGGACGTCTGTCCCCGTTCTCCATACAGTTAGGTGGAGGTGGACAAGGTGCCACTTCTACTCCCAGGCCTGAGCCCTGTGCCAGGCGCCCTCACACCTCTTACCCCATCTGGTCCTCACGACAGCCCCTGGGCCAGATCTGTTGACCCCACATGGCAACTGTTTGTTCGAAATCCCAGACTCTGGGTTTGCACTCCTGGATCTGTGACCTTGGACAAGTCAAGGGTACAGAACGTCTATGGCGTGCCGGATGCTGAGGGGCAGGTACGCTGACAGCAAGCCACGGGGAGCTAAGGCACATAGAGAATACCTCCTGCGGGATGGGGAGGAGGGTGCAGCAAGCTGAGCGAATGTGGCGGCCTCCCGGGAGCACGGAGAGGAGCAGGATTGCTAAGGCCTGGTCAGACGAGGCAGCAAACCCAGTGACTGGGCATCCGCTCAGCCTTGGGTGCTTCCCATGTGTGTGCTCCCGAAGTTCATCCTCCCGCCACCCCTGAGAGCTGGGCACTCCCGGGGGTGGAGCTGGGGTTCAAATGCAGACCCTTCTCCCCTGTGCTCCCTCCACCAGGCCACCTGGTGCGCACATCTACTAAGACTCGGCCACGCACCCGCTGTGCTGCGCTCACCTCGTCTCCCTCGGTCCTCGAAACCTGCAAGGCTGCTGTGTTGTCTCTGTTTTACAGATGAGGAAACTGAAGCTGAGAGGGTTTGAATAATTTACCCATCCTCCCTGAGAAGGGCCGAATGGAGGAGGGGTGGTGTTGCCACAGGGCCTTCTGTTCCCAGCAGGAATGGTCCAGTGGTCCCAGGTCATTCCGGCCCCAGTGAGGACGGGAGAAAGACACCTATGAACAAGTCAGGCAGCGAGGCCCACTGAGCACCTCCTGTGCCTTTTTCCACGCTAGTGCTGAGGGCAGGCACGCCCTGCTGCCACACCTTCTGTGGCTCCCGTGGCCCACAGGATGAGACCAGATTCCTCAGCGTGGCGTTGAACCCTCTCTGATCTGGCTTCAACCGCCCTGTCTGGCTGATTTGTCCAGCACTTCCTCCAGGGCTCAGCCGCTGGAGACCCGACCCTTCAGGCATCCTGCCTGTGCTTAGCTGCTCCCTCTGCCTGAGCCCTTCGGCCCTGCTCTATCATCCCTCAGGGCCTGGCTCAGATCAGCTGCTCCCTCTGCCTGAGCCCTTCGGCCCTGCTCTATCATCTCTCAAGGCCTGGCTCAGATCAGCTGCTCCCTTTGCCTGAGCCCTTCGGCCCTGCTCTATCATCCCTCAGGGTCTGGCTCAGATTCCTCCAATGGCCTGGAGTCTGAGCTGGCCCTACTCTCCCCTCCAGGGCAGAACCATCCTCCCTCCACCCTCCCCCCTGCATCCTTCCCAAATAGTGAGCCCCACACTTCTCACATGACTAGCTCTGCACGTGCCAGTTGCCCCACCTGGACCGGGAGGTCCTTCGAGGACGGGCCTCTTCCCACCCATGTTTCTATCCCCGGGACTTAGCAAAAGCAAGTGGCAGCAGTGCTGGTGGAATAGGATGGAATTGGCCCGAATTGAACTGCGCAGGCGCCCACTCTGCTGGCTCCCTGGCCCAGGCGCACAGACAGCACAGAGCAGGGATGAGGAGCTCTGGCTTTGGCGTAACCAGCCCTGGGTTTGAGACTGGGCTTTCCCTGGCAAGCTCTGTGACTTTGGCCAAGAGAATTACCCTCTCTGATCCTCAATTTCCTTATCAATAAAATGAGGTTAATAATATCTGTCTAATGGCGTGTTGTGAAGATTAGACAAGATCCTGCATCCTGAGGGCTCAGCAGGATCTGGTGCCTGATGAGCGCTCGGTGAATGGTAGTTATCATTATTGTTATCATTTGCAGAGATGAGGGGACTGTGTACAACGCGTAGACCTCAGGAGCCAGTGTAGACTTGGGGTTGGCGTCCAACCACTGTGTTATCAGCTCTTCCCAAACGTAAGTCCACGCAGCAGGCTGAGCTGGAGCTCAGACTCTCCTGGAAGCTCTAAGTCCAGTGTCCCAGCACTGCCTCCAGAGAGGTCTGGGATGGGCTGAGTTTTGAGTAAGCAAGCCAGGTGATCCTAGGTGCGCGAGGGCTCACTCTTGTGTTTTCAATGTGTTACCAAGAACTGGAATGGTTGGAAGGTGACCCGGAGAAGGTGGGGTTGCAAGCCAGCATTTAAACGGGTAGGAGGAAGGGACAAGGGTGTCTCTGGCAGAGCATATGGTTTGGCAAACCCAGGAGGGAAGGAGGAGAGGTGGCCTAGAGAGCCTGGAGGAGACCGGCCCAGCTGGAGCGACACTGGGCACAGTCAGAGGGAGCTGGAGCTTGGTCATGGGGCTCCTTGAACTCCTGCCATGGAGCTCAGATTTGATCTGAGGGGCAAGTGGGATCCACTGATGGTTCTTGAGCAGAGGAGTGACATGAAGAAACGAATGTTTAGGGCATATTCTGGTTAGTAGGTGCAAAAGGGAGTAGAGGGGACATACTGGTGGCAAGAAGCCTGGCTGGTGGCCTGTGGCAGGGATTCAGCTCCCAGCCTGGCCTGTGAAAGG